GTGGCATATGGCACATGAATCATTCACAAAGCTGGGGAATTAATTATTCATCCAAACAACAGACCAAACACTTTACTAATTGTCCCGGTAGGAAAGAGCTGCGAAAGGGGTAGGAGATGGGGTAGACATCAGGTTGGAGACTGGCACTGTTCATGAGAGGAAAAGAAGAAAAGAGATGATAAAGTCTTGTCTGGTGTGACCAAGCATTACTCTGCTTTTGCACTCGGGCTTGGCTCTTTACTGGTTCATCCTATAGGACAACCCTCCTTGCAACGGTACAGGCTCCAGCAGAATAATCCTGTTGGGATGCTGCACTTGTGCTCCGATTTAATGCTGCTTCTCCAAGCCTCATATCCACTCTCCCAAACTTCCTTGCCCGCAGGTGCGTTGTCCTTCCTTGGTTAGGAAAATCCAGGGGGAACATCCTGCTCCCAGCCCGGGTGTGCCCATGCACACGCATGGGGTGCCAGGCATGCTGCTGGGGGGTGCTACCCCAGCACGAGAGGCTGCAGCATAGGAATATTCCTGCACAGAGCTTCTGCCAGCATCCCTTCAAGGACCACTCCCTCCATCTCTGGACCTCCGAGACCAAAAAGACCACCTAAGACAGGCAGATTTGGGGTTGTGCAAGGAGCACTAAATACCAGAGGGAAAAGCATCCTCACCTCTGCCATGGGGGAGCGCAGGGGAATGGCAGAAAGGGCACCGGGCACTTTCCAGGATGGTCATCCCAAAATCCAGGCAGCACCACAATGAGCAACAACCTGCCCTCCTTGTCCTCACACTCACGTTTTAGCCCCGCAGCAAAGGAAGCATCCTAGGAACCAAAAATCTCTCCTGCTTCACCCCAGCCACGTCTGAAAATCAGGTGCAGGATTGCACCGGCAGGTCAGAGGGACAGGCTGGGCTCATGACAGCCGTTTGCCTTTGCAGGGAGGGGACTTTGGGTTTTGGAGAAGCCGTCTGGGCTTGGAGAGCCCGGCTTTCCTCCACCAGCACGGGCTGGTGTCCATCCCGTCGGCTCCGGGTTTGCTAAAGGCACAGCAGGCACCACCGGTGATCATTCATTCCTGCCATCCCTTGGCCACGCTCCACCCCACAAAATCCCTTAATGAAACCCACAGTGCCCAAGGGCTTCACAAAAGGCATCCGGGTGTAGCGGCTGTTATTAAACCCTCCGAAAAACCCTGACTCCAGCTCTTCCTTTCATTGACCCTGGTCTATTTATCCTGCTTTTACAGCAGCTGCTTCCCCAGCTCCTGAGCAGCACAACTTCACAAGGGCCTTTTCATTTCCATTTTGATTTTTTTTTCCCCATTGTTAGAAGTGTTCCCCCACCCCTTCACCTCTCACGTAACGTGTTATTGTATTACCGCTGCAACTGCTATGAAAAAAAAAAAAAAGCCAACACAGTGCTATGATGATGCTCAGGCACTGGAGTGTATGAAGCACACACCCACCTGGATATTTGCAGAGGGAGCTTTAACCCTTCTTTCTCCATGAGCTCTTTCAAATATGGTGTAGGACAAGGCAGGCTGGTTTAGGGTCCTCATCATTCGTTACACTAACAGCACCCGGGAGCAGGGAGCTGATGCTCCACTTGCTGGTGGCTGAAGATCCTTCAACTTCTCCCTCTTGGGACCATTCATTAAGAGGTCACCAAGCTCCCACTGCCCTTTCTGACCATTTTTCCCCTGTTTGGTCCAGGACACGCTGCATCAACCAGGTGACAAGCCCAGCTCCAGCACCCAGCCAGGTCTGGTTCCTGCACGGGCACGGCGAGTGTCCCCAAGCCCCAGGGGAAACACAGACGTTCCCCTCCCCAGCTCTGCCTCGGAAGGAGCGAAGGTATTTTATGTACATTTTCGGAGAAAAATATTTTTAGCTGGGGGAGAACAGGCTGGGGTTTTTTTCAGGCAGCGATGATGATTTGGAAACCACAGGTTATAAACAGAGCGGGTTTACAAATGTGACTATTAGTTCCCCAGTGAAAGCTTCAGCATCAGGGAGTTTTAGGTGGGCGTTGATTTCCACTGAGATGAAAAAAAAAAATCTGGATTTATTGACACAAGAAGCAAACACCAGTTGAACCCAAGTCAGTGCTATACATTCCTGCACAGGGACCCAGGACTGCTCACAGCAGCAGCCCCTCATTAGGCTAATTGACACCAGGGAGAGCATGCCCAGGAAATCCCACCGCTCAAGGAACCCCAGCGTGGCATCTGGGGCCATGATGCCACCTCTCCCATTGGACACAAGGCAAAAAATAAGTCCAGAATGGAAGAGTAATACCCTGTGTCACCCTTGGAGAGACATGGGCCAGCGAGTGATGCTGGGTCCCTCTGGGTCCATCAGGGATGGATCCTGGGGTGGGTGCTGCTCACGTGGATACCCGTCCTGGTCCATCATCATGGACCATCAGCATCCCAAACCTGTCGGCACATCCCACAGCAAGCACTACCCTCCACCTCTGATGCTCCCAACATCCCCTCCACCACAACCACTGCCTCTCGGCAAGTGGCAACAAGGTCCCAACGACCATTAATTCTCCCAATTCTCAACAGTCTCTGTACAGACACTCGCATATTAATAAAGTGTAAAGTTTTAGTCCACAAAGATAATCCTGCACCCGCCGATCGCCCACACACACGTGCAGACTTCGCCACCCGCCTTACGCAACCGACACAGCGTGAACCGCCAAGTGCAAACCCTCTCCTGCAAGCTGTTTGCAAGTCATTTGCCAGCCGAGGATTATTTGCTGGAGAAATTTGCCAATAATTCAGCAGATCAAACAGGCAAGTGTTTCTTGCTAGGGAGGCACAGCCATGGCGCTGAACAACAGCAGCTTTGGCAGCACCGCACAGCAAAAACGAGAGCTGAACAGCCCATGACCTGGTCCCAGCTTATCCCCCGGATCCTCTCCAAAACTGGTCCAGGGTGAAAGCCTGTGGGTTGCCTCCTCTGCCCATCAAACAACAGAATTCACCCCAAAATCCCAGTGAGCCCATGCCAGAGGGTGCCGGGACCACTGGGACAAAGCCAGCGGGTACCCGCACATTTCTTGGAGGGACTTTCAAAACAAACGGGATGCAAGGGGGATGATGGTGGTGAAGCAGATCCCAGAGGGCTCTGCCCCATAATCGGCGATGTCAGGGGGACCCAGGCACCTCCCAGCGGGGCGGACGGCGCGGCATTAGCAGCCCTTCACGGATAGTTGATTCCCTGGCACAGGGCCCGGCGCAACACTGAACAGAGCTGGCGAGGCTTTTGCGAGTGAGTAATTGCCGAGCGCTGACTCAGCACCGGCTCCGTTACACTCACTCGCCCAAAGCTGCGGAGAGGGCAGGGAGAGGTCTGCTGCAACCCCCCCACCAGCCCAGTGCTTCCGCTTGGCCCAGGCACCAAAGGATGCCCGGGACAGGAGCCACCGATGGGCATTTCCCAGCTACCGGGATGCTTTCTGCAGGCTCAGCCCAGCACCGCAGCTGCACATTGAGGCCGAGACATCCCCTTGTGTTGCTACCAGAGGTGACATGCATCCCACGCTGTCCCCACAGATGTGACCACCTTTGCCCAGCCCAGGAGCAGATGTAGATGCAGAAGAGCCAGCAGCATCCAGGGCGATGCCCACCGAGAAGCATCACCCCATCACCAGCACACCAAGACACCCCGGGTCCTGCTCCCCAGTGAGGCCATCCAGGTTCACCATGGACCAAAAGAGTCAAAACATTCCTGGTCATGTTCTCCTCAAGCCTTCTCCCAAGCCAAGTCCCTGCCTGCACCTCTCCACCATGGACAAGCAGCATCCATCGCCACATCCCTGGCAGCACCAGGCTCAGCATCCCCCTTCCTCCTCCAAACCCCCAAACAGGTGTCACATCCCATGTGGTGCCACCACCCTGCAACCCAAGAGACAGGACTGTGCAGCAAGCAACTCGGGAGGGACACCAGGTATCTCACCTGGATCCCATGCCTCAGTGTCCCAGACAGCCCTGTAGCTGCTCTGCACCCAGCAGAGCTTGTGAAGTGATTGGAGATCCACAGGCACCATCTCTTTGTACACATCAAACCAGCTCCTCTGAACGTGGGGTTTCCATCAGCACGCGAAAAGGAACCGCCACCATCCAGGCACACCCCTTCCCTGGGACCCCTCAGTGGGTGCAGGCACCCACCTGCCCCCCACACACAAGGGGCCAGGGGTGGTCACCCTGGGATGCTTCTGCTCAAGCCGACCACCAACGTTGTCTAGCACAAGCCCACATATCTCTGTTCATTTCTATGTCACCACCACACCGCAAGCACAACTCAAATCTGGGCCACGTCCCTGACAGGTGACACCACCGGTGACACAACCAGCACCAGTGAAGCTCTGTGCACCACCACCCCCAGCATCACTGCTGCGCGCCGGGATGCTGAGCAAGCATCACCTGCGAACACAGCCCCATGCGGACCTCGTTCCCAAACCCCCAGCACCTGGCCAAGGCTGGAAAGTGCTTGGGAAGGCAAGAGGAGAAGACATCTTCTCCCTCCCCACGTAGGGTTTGTTCAAGACCTCTCCAAGACGACATCCATTTGCTTAGCTTATCAGGCCATGCTCCTACTTCATCCTCACCTCGCCCCATGCCAAGACGGGTGACAGATGCCAGGCCACCAGCTGAGGAAAGCTAGACGTGATGCCCTCAGAGCCAGCCCTCCTCCCCCGATGGGGAACCTCATCCCACCATCAGCTTCCCACAGCAAAGCAAACACCAGAGCCTCCAGTGTGGGGAACCATCCTCCCCTCCCTAATTGGAATGAAGAAACACCACCGACAACGGCAAAACAGGGCTTTGCCCTGCATCCTGGAGGTCGTGTGCCCACCAGGACAAGCCCGCGTGCCCAGCTGCCCAATGCCACCAACAGTCTTGCGCTGCCCGACTCACCCGCTGAGGACCACAATGAAGTCCATGACGTTCCAGCCGTTGCGCAGGTAGGAGCCCTTGTGGAAAACGAACCCCAGAGCCACGATCTTAATCCCAGCCTCGAAGCAGAAAATCCCAATGAAGTAGGGCTCAGTCTTCTCCTGCCAGAGGGGAACCAGTGACACGGTCAGAGGAGGAGATGAATCAAACACAGCTCCAGCCATTTCACATTGACCCAACTCCCATCCATCCCATCCCACCTTCCCCAGCTCCATCCTCCCCTTTGGGAGCTCTCCCAGCCCTTCCTTAGCCTTTGAAACAAAAACCCAGGGGTACAACCCACCCAAGTTGCCCAGTCCCCCTTCCCTACCCCACTTTTAAAGGGGCTTAAACCTTCCTCAACCCTTTTGATGGAGGAGGAGTGTGTGACAGCAGCCCAGGAAGGCTGGAGGGGCCGGTTCCAGAGGAAACCTCCTGCCCTACCACCCCGACACCAAAAGAAATTGACTGTTGGGCTGGGGTGGCTCCCCTTGGCTGGTGCCCCTGCCCACCCGCAAGACGCCCCGATGCAGGGGGGAGAGGGACGGCCGCAGGGTACTTACTAATCTCCGTGACATGGGCGTCTTGTCATCCTCGGGGAGGTGCTGCTCGAGGGCCAGCACAATGCAGTTGGCAATGATGGTCGCCAGGATCATGTACTCGAAGGGAGTGGAGAGGAGTTAAGGAGCAGAGAAGAGGTGGATGAGATGTCCCCAACCCGCCAGCCCGCCCCTGCCCACCCTTTATTTCACCTGTTCCACTTTCCCCGCAGGAACACGCACACACGCGGCCCAGGTTTCACCTCCCACTGCTCCTGGGCTGGAGGGTGAAGCCCACTTTGGTGCTGTTTGGAAATGAGAGGGGTGACAAGAGAACCAAGAGCTCCTAAGACCTTCCTCACTGGAGACCTTCTGAGCCTCATCACCTCCTTCCCAAATTCATGGGACATTAACCGATGGCCTTTGCTGGGCTGGGAACTCTCCTGGGAGAGAGATGCTGCTTGTGGTGGGAAGGCAGAAGGACAGACTCGAGTATGAAGGTGCACACCCAGGCTGGTCTGTGTCTGGAAAGGGTTTGTCAGGGTCCCTGGCAGCGTCAGGGAGGCTCTCCCTGGCATGGCATGCTGGTGGCCAGAGCTGGCACGTCCCTGCATGCCATGGCCCTGCTGCTCGCATTCTTTTTCCTTCACGGAGCAGCAGGAGATGGGGCTTGGAGGTGGGGGGGGGACACGTGTCATAGGCTATCAGCAGCCCTGGTCCTAAAGCATCCCTGGGGGAGGGACCATCTGCACGGCATCCCTGGCAGGTCTTGGGGATCCCACCTGGATCAGCCCACCTCATGTCCTGCGTTGGCAAGGTGGACGTGCCCTGGAAACCGCGGGTCCCTTGCCAAGCACCCCACGGGTGGCCAGGCGAGCCCAGGCAGAGCTGGGAGCTGCACAGCACCGAGCTGAGCACTGGCAACTCAAGACACTGATGGTGCCGGGGTCTGAGCAGAGTGGAAGCTCCCTTTGGAGATGTCCCAGCTCAGCCACACTCCAGTGAGACCCCCAAGGGGTAGTAGCACCTTAACGGCAGGATCTTGCTGGACCCTTACGAGCATCCTACATCCTGCAGACATGTCTAGGGCTTACGCACCTCCAGGAGCAGCCCCGCACCAGGACAAGTGGCAGCAGATGCTGGCATCTGAGGAGCTGAGTGAGTGGGAAGGAGATCAGAGGAAAGGGTAGGCTGATGGCCAGGAAAGCACCTCAAACTCAGCTCCCTCCTGCCTTTTGCTTCACAGGGGCCACCGAGAGCTCCTCCTGCCTGGCTCACCACCAAGCCCCGAAAACAAAGCACTTCCAAGCAACAGGACGGCCACATCTTTCCAGTTTCCCATCCATCTTTACCGTATCTTTGCAATAAAAGCCCTGTTGTCCTCAATAAATGAGGCGAGATTCATCAGCAGGCAGCACATCCCTTCCCCGCTCCCTCCATGCCAGAAACCCACCGACTGTCACCACTGGCGTCAGCAGCCACGCCGGGAGGGGACTGCCACCTTCCCAAGGCTTGTCTACGGAAAGGGGATGTGATCCCACCTGGGATGGATATACCCATAAAGAAATCACACACGGTCCTACTGTCCCAAGCTGGCACAGGGAGCAGCAACCCGGCTGAGCCCTTCCCCACCGCACCAGGCTCCTCCAGACCCAGCAGCTTCGGGTTTGCACTGCTCAGGCCAGTGGCTGCCAGCACCCCGGCCATCGAAAAGGGATGATTTTCTCTTTTGCAACCTTGCCTTTTGGCCACTGAAGCCACTGACTACAGCAAGAGGCTTTAAACCAGTGGGCAAGAGAAGACATCCCAGTGCTGGCCACGAGCATGGGAAACTGGAAACCATGCAGTGACCCCAGTGGCTTGTGCACGCTGCGGCACGGCACGGTGGGAGCGGGGCTGGGCAGGGGAGTGGGTCCCCAGAGAGCTGGCAGGAGGGGCAGCCAAGGAGAGCCCGCAGGAGCTGGGACGTATCAAGCCTGGGAGGGAGAAGAGCCAGGAAAGATCCAGCCAAGGCATTTAAAAGGCCACTCAGGGAAATTAATGATTGCTAAGTTAACGGCAAACCAAAAGAGACACTGCCGCAAAGCTCGCTCCTACGGGCTCGGACCTCGGTGCAAGCTGGGCAGGAATTGCCAGCAGCTCCCTGTGCTCGGGGAGGGGGGGGCCAGCCCCCAAAAGCTTTCCTCGGAGGCTTATCACACGTGAGGATTTCATCGCACAGCCACGTGCTTTCCCTGCTTCCCACCTCCAGCTGCACGCTTCAGCCGAGACGCAGCCCGCGGCGCTTGGCCCTGAGCCACCGGCCTCTTCGGGGTCTTTTTGTTTAATTTTCCTGAAAGTCTGTGAGCAATTAGCACAGGCTTAAAAGCAGACAGCATGTTAGCGGGGCAGTGCAGCCAGCTCCCCAGGCGCTAGGCACATTTGCCTAGATGAGAAGTGTGGGAAAGGCACGGCGAGTCCGTCTGTCCTCCCCAGCACACCTAAACCCGCCGAGCATCCCCTGCTCCCCGCCACTGCGCCAGGCATCCACCGCCGCCTCCTCCCTCCTGTGGCCGCTAGTCCCACAGGGAAAACAGCCCGGCGTGGGAAAAACCCAACTTCTCCAAAGCCGGCAGTGTGGAAGCCCTACCTGGGGGGCCCAGGACCACCTCTAACGGCTCAGCTCGTCCCTATATTTCCTTGCTGGCTCCAACATCTAGCTTGACAGTGCCAGGACAGTGCACATCTGTCACAGCCATGGGACCGCATCCCTGCTCCACCTCCATCGAGTGTGTGGCACGTGGGTCAACAGATACCAAGTCTAAGGGAAAACCCAATTTTCCAAGGACCCGAGCCTGAGTTATCACATCTGGCGCTGGGGGAGAGCTGCAAATCCCACGCCCCTGTCACTCCATCTGTGCCAAGTTTTGAGAATCCAAGGGTAAAAAAAAAAACCCTCCCCAAGGGAAATTTTACTCCACCTCTGCCAAGCAAGCATCCTCCTGGCTCAGGGCTGGAGCCCACCAGCCAATGCGCTATCGCTCCTTCCTTTCCTCTCTCATTAAGTGTCTAATTACACGACCTTCCAGCCACCCAAAATGCAGAGTAGCACTTGCCTCCCTCCGAGCCCGATAATGAAAGCCCGTCTCCCTCCAGCCTTCTCCTCCCTCCTTCGTCTGGCTTCTCCTGGAGGATCATTAGGGAGCCGATAAAAATAGGTTTTCTTATTGATTTATCTCCTTTACCCACCGCTCTCTCCCCTGCGCCGTTGACTTGTTTCCTTAGCAACTCCGCTGATCGCAGCGCACGCCACACCCACAGCTCCACGCGTCCCTCCCGGTGCATTTGAGGTGGGGAAGGTGTCCCCAGGCCACGTGAACCCCCCCCAGACCCATGCCTCAGCCCACCCAGAGCAGGCACCGTGGGCTAACCCCACACCTGGAGCTGGAGCTCCTTGGTGGGTCTGGCAGGGAGCACTGCGGAGATGCCCAGCCCGCTGTGCATCCTTGCTTCCAGCTGTGACCCCCCTCTTCACCTCCCTCCCCAGGTGGTTGCCAAAACCAGCCCCCCCAGAACATCTCGATTGCTAACGCAGGGGGTATGCCCAGGTCCAAGCCCCGAAGATGGGTTTATGGTGCTGATGGCATATCGATGCAACCTCCCCGAGAGGCTGGGTGCGAGATAAATTCCTCCCCAGATGCAGGTGAGGGCTGGGAGCTGTGGAGAGCCCCCCTCCATCCCTTCATCACTTCGGTGACCATCCCTTCTCCCCACTCCTGGGCAGGCAGGTGGGGAAGGAGAAGAGACAGAGGAGTGGGGCTATGTGGGCATCTCCAGAAGAGCTCCTGGGGAAGCCTACCCCAGTGGGTCAGCGAGAAGGACAGAAGCGATTTAACCCCTCGCCCTGCCTGTGTCACCCAGCCCAGCTCCAACACCTAGAAACTCAAGTCTCCATTTCCCACCACTCCCCAGGACCTGCCGCACCAAGGGGCTTTCCCTCCTCCCTGGGTGCTGATAAGAGGGAGCTTCAGTTCCTTCATATTTGGACTTCATCTCGCTGGTCCCAACCCTGCCCAACTGTCTGCCCCATACAGACTTTCCCGTGCCCTGTCCACCCAGGGCACGCCAGGAACAAAGACTCCCCCCTTCCCCATCCCCAGGACACCCTGACCCCTCTCTGCTCTGCACCCCAGCAGGAAAGCCAGCACCTCCTCCCCAAGGCTGTTTTCCAAGAGAAACCCAAAACGCCAAATGGAGCAAAGACCACGAGGAGTCCTAATTCAGCTCAGGGTTTCTCCAGCCCTACAGCACCCTCCTGGCTTGTCCCCAAGGACACGAGGGATCTTCGCCCAGCAGATAGGGCTGCCCAGTGCCCTCCAGCAGCTGCAGAGCCATGGTCCCTTGGGGCTGTCCCCATCCCTGTGCCCTGCCACCCAGCACTCCCAGCCCATCCCTGCTTTGCTGGGGTTGGCAGAAAGTGATGTCCAGAGGGACAAGGTGCCCACAGACCCCAAACACACCCAGCAAAACGGGCTCAGGAGAGAGAGCATGGGCTTGGGGTTGTGCTTGTGGCTCTGCACAGCTTGTGGGGAGCACCCAGGCGAGATGCTCAGCCTGCCAAAATCTCACTGCACGGGCATGCCTCGACTTCAGAGACTCCACTCACTATCTGCAGCCACAGATGTTGCTGCTTGTGACTCCAAAATGTGGCATCAGGGGCTAAACAGACGGCAGTGCCAGCCAGGAGCTGGTCGGGCAGAGCTGCCTGCATTGCTGCCGCTCCCATAGGGATGCAGGCGCCTGCCTGCCACGTGCAAACAGCTCCGTGGAGATGCCTCTCCTTCTTCCCCACCTCACCCTGTGCTTAAAAACTGGAAATCAAATCTCTTTCCTCTCCTCCTCCTTTTTTTTTCTTTTTTAACAAAAAAGAACCACATCATGTGATGTTCCTGCCTTAACATCAGTTTTTTAACTTTGGTTGCCACAGCAACAGGATGCAACTTGGTGTCACCATGACAACAGCTGCCTCTGTTTAAATTCAACCATCTGACAGGCTGCCTCACTCTTCCCCGGCGACGCCCCTGCCATTACACCTACTCGCCCCTCCCCAAAAAAACAACATTTTAAAATCTGATGAATGAAGGGCACAGAAAACAGCCTTGGAAGGGAGGAAAATTTTAAAAAAAAATAAATAATAAAATTTTTAAAAAAGAGAGACGTTCTTGGGTAGCACAAGTAGGGAGATGCCCAAGGATGGCACGACATGGCGCAGCTCTTCACTGCAGGGAGGCAAGACCTGCCAAAATCTTGGCCAGGCAAAAGCAGAGGTGCAGGAGACGCTTGCCCAGGTGGGGCATAACGCTGCCAGGGCCCCCACGGGGCAGTGCCCATGCAGCACCTGCGATGCCCGGGTCAAAATGGGAGTCATCACGAGCGAAATGGTTCGGGCGCACGTGGGTGTGCATCCCATGGAGCAAAATCCCCATGCGTGTTGGACTGGGGATGCACACTGCAGACATCCTGGATGCTTTTGGCCAACCCAACACCTGATTTGGTCCTTCGAGGGGCCGAGATAGGAGCAATCCCTCACTGCAGGGAACAGCAGGGTCCCTATAGGGCTGACAAACATCCCAAGGTCCCCAGAGGACTGACAGACATCCCTCTCCCCTGCCAAACCCGGGGGACAGGGCTAGTGGCCGGCGTGCACCTGCAGCCAGGGGCTGTCCTTGGGGACAGAGCCAGAGCCACACAATGTCATCTGGCCTTTCTGGGGCGGGAGAAGGATCTTATCCAGGTCAAATGTGATTAAGTAGCTGAAGAAGGGAGCAGATCTAGATGAGCTGCAGCCCATCTCATGTGCTAACTGAATTGTAGCTTTCCAGGCAGCCAAACAAATGAAATCAGGGCGAAAGGCCTGGCCGGCAGCGGGAGGAGAGCAGGCAGGACCAGGCTGTGCTTCCGAAGGAGAAGAGGAGGGAGATGTTCCTACAGCCAAAACAGCAGCTGCCTCGCATTTTGGGCAGGACTGGTAAAAAGAGCAGCTCCAGCAGAGGTAACACACGGTGAGAAACTCAAAGGCTCGTCTCCCCACGGAGCTGCATCCCAAGCCCAGTTGCTCGTATTTCTCCTCCTTTCCCTCCATGCATCATCCCTATTTACACCGGGAAACCAAACTGCAGAGGCTGCTGGTTATAATTATACAGTTACCCAGCAGATATCCAGGCCTGAATCACCAGTTATTTTTAGCCCTATTACCTAGTCAACTGGAGCTGGATGAAGAAGAGCTTCCACTCCCCCACGCACTCCACCCCAGCCCCCTTGGCTTGCCTTGGTGCCGTTCCCCATTCTGACCCGCAGCACCAGGACCAGCCACCTCCCTCCCCGGGCCAGCAGCTCTCATTGACTGTGGCCAAACTCCAATGCTCACCTCCCCAAACCACCCTCGCCCAGGAGCGATGCCATGGGCTCCGGGCCAGGCAACCGAGATGCTCCCACATTTTTCCTGGCCCTACCGAAAGGCACTGGCTGCGTGTGCCAGGCTACAAATACAAGGATGGGGACAACTTGTTTGGCCAACATCACCAAACTCATCACCAAAAAACCACATCCATCCCCAAGCCCTCAAAAGCTCAAGTGAAGCAGAGGAGTTCTAGGGTGGGTGAGTTTCTTAGAAAGAGATGGCAGCCAGGGATGCTCAGCTCCTGCACCTGGAACACGCCCGTTCCCAGCACTCACATGGGGATAATGTCACTTACTTCTGGAAAAAAAAAATATCAAATGAGCCCATCTCCCTCATGCATTGCAAATTCCAGGAAAGAACAATGCTGGGGGAGTTTTTACCGAGCACGCTGGTGAAACTCTAGTCTCTAGGAGACAGCGGCTGCCTGGAGATGAGACATCACGCCGGCACGGGACCCCAGCCCACGCAGGGAGTGCTGGCCCAGCAGCAGCACCCCAGCTCCTTCTCGCTTTAAACGAAAGCCAAAGGGGTGAGGGCCCTCCCACACTGCGCTGAAAGAACCCTTATTCCAGAATCTTTGGCATATTCTGCAGGGCTCACAGCTGAGCTGCCACGTCCCCGCGCTCACTGCTGCACCGATGCTCCCGCAGCCGCCAACCCCGCAGGCGCTGCCGGCAGGGCCAGATTTAGGGATGCCATGGGGAATTCACCCCTTTCACCCCCAGGTCACCCCCCCAAGCCTGGGGATTTTGCAGCTCCCCTGCCAGGAGCAGCTCCTGCTGGCAGAGGCTCAGCCTGATGTGCAAGAGCAGCAAAGGGACCATTTCCCTGGTGATGCTCAGCAGGGTGGGTGACCTATCCTGCATCCCTGCATCTCACCGGAGGGGTTCCCCCAGGTACCTGTTGCAGCAGCCCAAGGCATCGCTGCTCGGCACCCAGGGCAAGCTCTCCCGCGCCCGCCGGAGGAGCCAGCAACTTAACCAACAAGTTGCAGGGAGAGAAAAGCAGCAGCGGCGAGAGCTGCATGTAATCACCACTGCAGAAAATGGCACGGGGAGGGTCCTCAAGCCAAAGCATGGCCATGCTGAAGTTTTCAGGCTCAGCTCCTTGGTGGGGAGCAAAGTCCAGGAGGGGGTCTTGGTAGGAAGCAAGCCCAGGATGATGG